GGGGGGGGGTCAGCCCTAGAAAACAGTTACAAAAAGTAGAGGACAAACAAACGTGCGGTCACTTTTAACAAAAATGATATTGGTGAAAACAAACATTAACAGGAATAAAGTTGAAGTTGAACAAACTGCTGACACGCATCATTATGTGTGTCTGCCTTTAAAAAGTAGTCCACAATACAAAGTGGAAGGTAATGAAGCTGGCGGGCTCCTTTAACTAAAATCATGTTGGTGAAACAGAGATAAAGTCAGACTTCTCGCTTCAGCAGTTTGTTTTTCACACACATCGTTTTCACTTCGTCTGTTGTCCATGAGCAGCTGTTTATGGTTTTACTCCTCAACAGGTGTCTGTGAACCCAAAGTACCAGGTGCAGGAGGTGGAGTTCGCATTGCGGAAGGTGGGTGACTTTTACGCGCCTGTATTTTTTTTTTTTCTGTTGAGACATTCCATCATGTTGAGGTGGGTCCTCTGTTCACAGTCTGGCTGTAAAGCTGTAGCGTGCCCCGCAAAGTTCAGGACTCAGAAGTACAGTGACATGCTGAAGCAGTTATGTCCGGAGATCGAGTCGTCTACGCCGGGGGACATCAGGAGCGCCAGGTACAGCTACTTGGTGCTCTCCAGTCATCCTCACCGCTCTGAACTCTTTCACTGTTCTGTATGTTTGAGTCATGGAGCTGCTGCAAAACTATCAAAAGTCTCATTTCTACACAGAAAAGATAAAACTATTTTTTCGTTCAAACAAAAAATGTGTCTCACATCAGGTGCTCCAAACAATTGGCGGAATAACAAAACATTTTAAAAAACCTCTGAGAAACCATCACACAACATAGAAGCATCAAAAACACAGGTTACCGTCTCGCAAACACACACAAACCCACATATTCCACATCCAAAAATGTCTGCCGGAGAAACCGATCACACCGAGACGAGTTGCTAGAAACACGTTTTTTTTTAAGACATGTATTAAAGTAAAAATATTCAAAACTTTTCAGTGCCATATTTGAGACATCAACTCGCGTCTCATAATGTCTGCTAACCTTTCTTCTCTCGGGGAGCAGAGTCTGAAAGAGGAGGCGAACGTTGGTGGTGCATCACAGCTAATAATCTACATTAGCTCAGATTTTGGACTGCCTGGATCTCTGTGCCCTCGAAGGAAACTTTGCTGTTTTTTTTAATGCTGGTGTGACGAGGCCTTTATACAGGTTTTTGTTGTGCTAATTGAAACATTCCTTTGAGGGGAATGGGGCCAAGCCGGTGTAATTGACTCTTGACCTCAATGTGCTAAACATTCAAGCTACAGTCCCGATTCTACATTTACAGAACGATGAGTAACTTGGACAGGTATCACAACCCGGCTCCCAGGCTGTAACGAAAAGTGAGACAAGACGAGTGATAAAAGTAATAAATAGACATTTATTTAAAGAATACAAACTAAAAACTCAGAAAGGAGATCATCGTATGCATTGCTGATCTGGAGCGACCCCTAGACACGAGGTTGGAGAAAAATGTGCGCGAGGATGAAGAGGAATGAAGTTCGTCTGATGACAACATTATTTGTTCGATCCTCGGCTGCTACGAGACCTGTGCCAGAGTGTCCCTGAGCAAAGACACTGAACCCCTAACTGCTCCCCGGGCGCTTCTCAGCAGCCCACTGCGCCCTGTATAGGGCTGGGTCAAATGCAGAGAACAAAGTTGAATAAAGTATAAAAACATAGCTGCTCTTAAAGTCCTCAATCGGTTACAACAACTAAAGTCAGAAAAGGAGCATCTTATCGTTCTAACCGACGGTGCCCTGCCTTGGTTACTTGTTTGTGTTCCTTTAAGCCAGCAGGTAGTGGTGATCACAACTGGAGACATCTGGGCCCGGTGCTCCAGTATAAAGCTCCGCCTTCCTGGCAACATGCCGGCGCTCTCTTTTCACCCCGTGGAGCGACGAGGACGGCTTGTTCACCACCAGACAGAGTTCGATGTCTTATGTTTAATGAACTGCTGTGGCAAAGAACTCAGCTTACCCAAGACAACAGAACCAAGACAAGCCCTCTGAGCATATGGTCACGTCGAAGAGAACCTTAAAGGCACGAAGAACACGCAACAGATGCCTGGTGAAGTTGCAGAATACTTGGGCAGAAATTGCATTTTCAGAAGAACCGTGCCGACGGCGAACAAATGCTGTTCACAACAACATTAAACGTGTGCTGTACATAACGTTTAAAGAAGAAAAGGAGCACAAGGACCGATTACTGACAACACTAACGAACAAAGCAGCAGCCATGTCAGTCAAGAAGAGTCTGAGAGGAGAGCCAGACAAAGAAGAGGGGCAGCCTTGATAGCTGGGACCAACCCAGCCTCAGGTGTCGCCCATCAGTGGCCGATTAACATCCTGAAAGACAAGCTGACAGGAAACAGGACGCAGACCCCTGGTGGAAGGGAGGGGTTGTCACACAGGATACATGGATTGAACAGTAACACGCTGCTTAAACAGAGAGTGAACGAGTCAAAGTGAATATTAAAGTGTAACTTGAAGCTCTTTAGTTTTCAAAACATGACCCCCACAATTGTTTGGCCCCCCCCCCCCCCTCAGACTCCCAGACCTCCGCTCTGTGATCCTCCTGGATAGTCGACAACCGGGAATGTTCCACATTGAGGACGTGATGCAGGCCGGCAGCAGCCGGTACATGCAGCAGCTTCAGGACCTGCAGAAGCAGCTCTCCTTTGACGACCCGATAAACATCCAGTTCACTTCGGTAATCGTTGCTAATTCCTGCTGACCTTAAAGGGATAGTTTGGAATTTTTTGATGTACAGAACGATCGGCTAGCGATCAAAACCGGACGGTTTTCAGCTTATCGGCCTTTACTATCAGAGTCACCTCTACACACTGTGTCCATCCATTGTTATGGCTTTCTAAATGCGGCGATTTATTTCTGTAATCATGTGTTACCAGGGAACCACTGGAGCTCCAAAGGGCGTGACCTTGTCTCATCACAACATCGTCAACAACGCCTACTTTGTGGGGAAGAGACTGGGGTACACCTGGAGAGTGAGTCTTTTACCTGAAACAGGTTTCATTAACCTCTTCTGACCCGTCAGCAGATTTAGAGAGCTCACTAGTTGTGAAGTGAGTTTGAGGGTGGTATGGTATACGTTTAACTAAATTGATCATACATTAGATCCAAAACAGACCAAAACCAACAGTGAATGTATCTACTGACAAAAGTTCTATATCTTTCTTCTTCCTCTGAGCCATGGAGCTCCATTAAAAACACATGAATGAGCCTCACTGTTTATGTTGACTCAATGCCACACACAAATACTCACTAGAGCGCCACATGTGGATTAATCCACCACTGAAAATAGTCCCTAACAAATACACACTTTACTCTTGTTTGTTTAAATGTGATAACAACTACAGTTATCAGCAGGAAATGACTGAACCTGGACTAACACAAGTTGTTGACAATAAGACAAATATAAACTACCATCAGCCGTATCCTTTAACACATTATGGTAATCAATAGAATGTTAAATGATACCATGAAGAAACGATTAGTTCAGTGATATTTAAAGGTGGTTAACAGGCCTCTACAATGAGATGGTTGACTAAAACTAAAGTTCCCACCACTGAGCATTAACGGCCTGGAGGTGGACAGCCTCACATTCCTCTGAAAAACGATCTCCTCCTCTTTTAAATGGGACGACAACTTGATCTGCAGCTCTACAGAGCTTTGATAGAAAGTGCTTCTGTACCTCCACAGCTCAGCAGAGGAAGCAGTTGGACAGAATTGTCTGCTCCGCCTTAAAAATCAACAGCTGCAAACTCACTCACATCTCTGACATCTACGAGACCTAAAAATACTCCACAGGACTCCAAGCAGCAGCAGCCGCCCCTCTTAATAATGCTTCCCTCAGGAAAAGCTAAAACATCTCTTTTTCTCAACAGCACTAACTACAGAACAGAATTACTAAATGGCTTCCCCATTCTGCACCAGCACTTTATGACAGCAAAGCACTAATTCTCTTTTTTAAAGACTATGTTCTGAGATTGCTCTAGGCTTTCCCCTTGGACTAATATCTTACATCCAAGGAATTCATGTTTGTGGATTCATTACTACACAGGCCTATCGGGGCTCAGGCCCAGGGGCCCAAAGTGTCACACAAAGAGACACAAACCAACCAAGAATAGACTGAAAAATCGACCACAAAGAAACATAAAAGACTACAAAGAGACTCAAAACAGCTACAAAGAGACTCACTAGTACAAAAGTATGAAAATGAGCAAAACAAAATGACTACAAAGAGACTCAAAATGACTACAAAGAGACTCAAATAATGTTTATTTCTGGGCCCTTTTCTGAGAATTTTTCCTGAGATTCTTTATTCTTAAAATTAAGAAATAAAACCATTGAAAAATAACAAATACATACTTGTAACCAAATGCACTTGATGACAATCAATGACAATGAAAATAGCTAGGACAAACAAGCACAAAGGCACCTTTTAACTAAAATGATTTTAACAGGGATAAAGTTGAACTTATCTTGTCAGCAGTTTGTTCTTCACGTACATTTTCTTTTTTGTCTTTGTCTGTTGTTGAAAATAGTCCCCAACAAATGCACTAGTTCCCCCTGTTTCAGTAAAGTTTGTTATATATATATATACAGTGTGTGTATATATGTACAGTATATTTGCACTGAAACATGTAACAAAGTTGGAGGCTCGCCGTTGTCCAATATTTTGACCCTTTTGTCTCCTGGTTTTGTCCCGCAGCCTAACATTCGTGTCTGTCTCCCTGTGCCTCTGTACCACTGCTTCGGCTCTGTGGGTGGAGGGTTGTGTATGGCCGTCCATGGCATTTCCACCATCTTTCCCTCTGCGGGGTACGATGGAAAGGCCAACTTAGCAGCTCTGGAGAGCGAAAGGTAATGTCAAAATCCTTTCGCCAAGTCCGTAAAATTTAGTCTCAGAAAGACCGTATGAAACCTGTTCAACAGAAAGCTGTTTGGACTTTTAATATTCTGTTCACCATTGATTTCTTTTGGACTGTTAGAATAATTCAACCAGAGTGTACACATTAAGCAGTTGTGAACACTAAAGGATCTGCATAGATTGACGTATATATTTTATTTAAACATAATTCAAATGTCTGGATCAGTCTTCACTATCACTGCCTTGATGATGCAGTGGACCTTTATGCTAAAAGGTAACACAGTGGAGAAATATTGGGGCAAAGGTTCAAACGTTGAGTGCACAGGTGTGACATTTATTGATGTCAGCTTCACTGTTAAGACTCGACTGTGAAAAACATAAATATATAAAGACATAAACCCCACTGACCCCCGTCACTGTATCAACAGTCGGTATTCTTTCAACTGTGTTTGTGCTAAGCTAACCAGCTGCAGGCTGTAGCTTCATATTTAGGCAACGTGTGGAAATATTGATCTTCTTATCTAACTCTCTGCAAATAGACATGCATCCCAAAATGTCAAACTTTGCCTTTGACCTAAGTCACACAGCACCATAACAACGGAGAAGAAGAGCTTCCCGGCACCACAAACGGACTCTTTGAAGTTTCACTTCAATGCATTTTTTCTCAATAAATTGTTTTTTTTTTACAGTAAATAGAAGTGAATTGGTAAGAAACTAATCAAAGCATTCGGGCACATTATGTAGAGTGTGCAAATGTGCACCGCACGTGCATAATCTTCACAAAGTCGGCCATGGTTGCTTTAACTTTTAACTTTTGAATTTGAGAGCCTTTATTGCCTCAAATAATGTTTTTGAGTTTGAAATGAAAAATAAAGACATGCCCATACGTTTTGCGGTTTTTGCTTTTATAAGTGAAGATTATGCATTCTGATATGTTTGTCTGTTTTCCCTCACAGGTGCACCTTCATCTACGGCACCCCCACCATGTTTGTGGATATGGTCAGCCAGCAGGAAGTGGCCAAACATGACTTGTCGTCAGTCCTGGCAGGTGAGAAAAAGATTGATATTCTGCTGTTGTATAAAAGAAGGGGCCTTTTCAATGATGTAAAGCCTTTTTTCCTGTTAGTTAGTTTTTGTCTGAGACTATTTCCATAAACGTTCTCAGGTTACATGCGCTTCTATTTGTTTGTGTAACCGTAGGCGTCATGGGAGGCTCCCCGTGTCCTCCAGATCTCGTGAAGAAGGTCATTTCTGTGATGGGCATCAAGGAAATAACGGTGAGTTGATTAACAGACACAGAATACTGTTGTTGTTATAGTTTAGTTCACATAATGATGCAGTTCAGCTTCCAAACACCAGGGGGAGACACATCCTTGGAGAAACGTCCGTTAGATTTAGCAACAGCCTGAACATTCAGTTGGTCAGTAAAGGAAGTAAAGTAAATAAGTATGTAAGATAAAAAGGAGACCTGATTTTGTAAAAGGTTTATTGGATGTGAACACCTGCCACCACTTCCAAAAGTCAAGGAAATGTAAAGATATTGAATATACATATAGATATGCAGAACAGGCAGTAACCCTCCCAGCTGAAATTCTTCACTCTTTCTTTACAATTTAAATCAGTGAAGTGTTTGAGAAAATGTTTAGTCTGTTATTAAGATTTTGCATTAAAGTGAAGACAGAATAACGTATACATCTAGTAATAGATTAACTTCTTCTTAACAAAAAACAACCAAATCCAGTTTCATAGATGCTAAAAGAAAGCAGATTGTAGATTGATTCATCTAATAAGCCGACCCACATCTTCAAAGTCTTATTGTCTTTTAAGCGTCTTCTTCAACTGATTGTTGTTTTGTGGTTTGGAAGATGTGTTTCTCTGCCTCTTTAGCATTTTTTAGAGCCATTGTTTATTAATTTTTAACACAGGTAAACACCAAAATAAAGGTGGCTTCATGTCCAGTATATTAAAGCTGCACTAATAATTATTCTCTTCATCATTAGTGGATCAAATGAGTGTGTGGAAAGAGTTCCTTTCAACTTTTTGTATGAATTAAATAAACAAGATATTACTTGTTAATTAATGAGCTTTTATGGTGCTGATGGGAGTATTTTGTAACAGTTGGACAGAGCCAGGCTAGCTGTTTCCCTCATTATGCTAAGCTAAGCTACCGGCTGTAGCTTCCAAACCTAAGAGTGGTATTGATCTCTCTAAGAATATTTCCTTTAAGCTCATCTGGTTTGAGTTTATCTTCATGCTAATAAAAACATTGAAACTTTTATTGACCATCATCCTCATAACATTCAGACTGTTTGTATTCACGGTTTATCCTGAAGATCCTGAATGCACCATGAAAAGACAACATGCCCCTTCATTTACTCGAATGTGTCCTGTATTTTGGTGGTTACCTGAATGTCTTTGATGTAAATAGATGATAATCAAAAGAGAAAGGTTACGTCTCAGGTCCATAAAGCTCTTGATGTGTTTTGGAGACGGAGAGAGCAAGTGTGTGTACATCAATGTGTTTAAACTAGTGACATTATTTGGCAGATGAATAGATGGACAGTCTTGAAGTAGAATGAGTTAGCATTGCTTTTCGTCGCATGTGTAGCCAGTCACCTGGACGGGCTCCTCCTTCGGCGTGTCCTGTAGGAAAAGACACAAAATCAGCAGCCAAATTAAACAAAGTCTGCCGTCCAACCCAAAGACTATCATGACCTGGACTCGGTGTACTGGACCCCAGGGCCAACATGGAAAAGTTCAGACGGGAGGACAGAAAGTTCTGTGGTTTAGAAAGAGAGAGAAAATAAAATCATTCAAAGCCATCTGTGGGTCGGTCCAAAACCAACTCCAACCTCGTGTGGTAGCGTCTGAATCCAATGTCGCATTGTACAGAAGTGCAGCTGAAAACCTTCACAACAAACCACCGCAGGAGGGACTCAAATAGTGGGGAACAAAACTGAACCTCCAGGTTCCATCATCAAAACATTTAACTGAACTAACATTTATAAAGAAGGTTTCACATTTGGATGCGTTTTTGCAAACAACGGTTTCTCTCGCTGATTTATGAGTAACATTTCTAAAGCCGCCATTTTTACACTTCCTGTTCCCTCGATGTGTTTTTGGTTAGATGTCTGAAATAATGTGGTAAACACAAGCTGAAGAGATTTGAACGTTTAGTTCTCTGACGTAAAATAGGTCAGTAAATATACGCCTCTGGTGAATTTCGAGGCTTTTAAAAAAGTATTTTATTGTGAAACTGAATCCTTGGCAGTTTTGTAAACAAATGTAATAACTGTCTTTAGGTGAAGCAGTGTTGTGTGTATTTTAAAGATAATCAAACAAATATATCCTTCTAAAATAATGACTTTTAAAGGAAGGGTTCGGCATTTGGGAAAATGTTCTTATTTACCTTTTATGCTGAGAGTTAAATGAGAGGATTGAGGCCACTCTTGTGTCTGTACGCTAAATATAAAGCGAGCCAGGAGACTGTTAGCTTAGCTTAGCATAAAGCATGGAAACAGCTAGCCTGGCTCTGTCTGAAGGTTAAAAAAAAACAAAAAACACCTCCAAAACTCTTAAAATTATCTAATTTGCTGAATCCGTAAACTCTACTAAATCACTGCTCATATCCAAGAAATAATCCATGGTCCAATGTTTTTTGTTTGGATTAAATAAACAACATATAAAGTTTTTGTTAGTGAGCTTTAGAGGTGGTGGGTTTGTGACCACAGCTTTCAGTCTTTATGCTATGCTAAGCTAATCTCGTCCTGGCTGCAGCTTCATATTCAACCGCACAGACATGAGTGTTTTCTCAACAAAAAAACAAGCATATTAAATAAAATATCGCCCTCATCCTTCATTGTGTATTTTGATTTGAAGATGTTAGCACCGGGTCACGTGTTTCAGTGGCGGTTACCTGCACAGCAGCATGCTCAATGGCGCGTGCCCTTTTTGGCTCTCTTCGGCTTGACTCTGCAGCCACTGAAGGAGGCGCTGTCTCTCACTTGCTTTCCTTTCTGGTGAGGCGGAGATGCACACACTGCGTCCGGACGAATGCGACTAGAGTCCATCCACCTGCAGGTAGAAAACCAGGGGGATAAGAGAGGGTTTGTGCTAGCTACTTAGCACTGCCTAACAAAGCTGCTAAGTGACGCTGTAGAGTGCCCTTACCTGCGCAGTGGAGCTAGCTGGCACGTGCAGCTCCACGGGTTGTTGGAGAGGGTGAGGTTGGTGATGGTGCCGAAGTCAAGGCTTTTGGGGAGAGACTTAAGCTTGTTGTTGTCCAGGTTCAGTGACTTGATAGCCGTCACACCGGTGAACGCACCGTCTGAGAACTAGAGAGAGGGAGGAGCCGTACATGAGCTGCTGTTTGTCTCCGCCAGGAGGATCATGCATTCAGCTGTGTGCGTGAGTGAGTGTGTGTGCACCTCTGTGTCTGTCCACTGCTAATCTCTTATTCTGCTGCAGCAAATTGCTTAATATTTTTGGGTGGCCATTTGTGGCTGCATGCTCAAGGACATCTCGTGGTTGCGGTGACTCACACTTTCTCAAAACACCTTTTTATTGCCTGTTTTATTCTTCGAGCCGATTGCCTGCATACGTCATGCTTGTTTTTGAGTTTGAATGAAGTGTGCTGTACGTTGGTGTCTAGACGAGGGTGTTAGCCAGTTGTGGGTTTTATTCCTTCAATCACACAATACAGCAGTGGTGGTTGCAGAGACACCTGGCGGAAATCTGCACTCCACCGAGTGCATCTATCTAGTTTTGGTGAATGGCTGCATTTTTATAGACCATTTCAGTCATTCACAAACTCGACAATGGGAGTGAGCTACTATGCAAGCTGTCAGCTATCGGGAATGATTTGGGTTTTAGTTTCTTGCCCAAGGACACTTCAACAAGTGTAGCTGGGCATCAACGCCTTAAGGAATCATGAATCAATCGATGCACATCTTCCAAAAACTATTCTTAGCTTGTATAAAAACATGGCTCACACCCATCCTGTCCGTCAGATAGATGCAGAACGCGGGAATCCCGCCAGTGTTTCTCTGGCATGAAAGCCTCCTCTCATCCTTGCTTCTGCACCAGCACTTATGTAAACACCATCTGTTACTGCACTCCTTTTTTCTTCCCGCTTCTACTTCATACGCATCTGCGAGGGCGCTAAAAGCTTCAGAGAGGTGCGAGGTCTTCGTCGTGTCAAGTTTTGTCTCCTGCAGGAGGACGGATGAGAGAGAGGAGCTTTGGTCTTTGAAGGTGTAGTTTTATGTGAGTCTGGAGGAGATGAGGCTGTTCGGAAATTTCCACCGTGGAACAACAAGTAGCCGAGGGTTCTGGTATTTTTAAGCAATGGAAGATGGATGACTTCCAGCGTGGCCGAGGTGTTTTTCGCTCTCTCTGTCGTCTCTTTGCCAGGAAGGCTCGCAAAGGGCCCAATTGTCCATTCAACCGGGGGCGATAGCAAGCTAAAAATACTCCTCTTCATGCACCGGTGGAACACCCTGCCTCTATTTACCGGTCTCCTCACCCCTCCTGACCTGTTTACAAGACCCTCAAGTAGAAAACACACTTGCTGAAAATAACACTTGTGTAATAATTAGACTCTGAGCAACTGCTTGGCCGAGGTCCAGCAAACAAAAACACTCCTAAAAATACCTGCGTTTGGTTGAAAAATGGTCTAATCTCCCCCTACTCGCCGTGTACTGCTGCATTCACCTGGCTCTCACACAGTCCCACCGTGAGAAGGTTGTTATTTTACAGTTTTCCCCTTTGGGATAACGCTATGCTGTGGCACAGGTACACTCAAATATTGGATTAACCTAAAGTATGAAGCAAATGTGCCCTCAGGAATGTCTGAGAAGTAGTGTGTGGTGTAACATAGAGCTTATATTGTATACAATTATACCCACGCTGTGAACGATCTGGATGAACCGATGGATGTTTTACAGGCAGCTGTGGAAACATCTGTCTCATGGTTCTGATATCGGAACATCATGTCATGATGAAGATTAAGACATGACGGGTGAAAAATGTTTAAATCTACTTCCCACAGTTGATTATTTACATTAAGACAATTATTTTTAAACGGACCTTTACATTTTATTTTTTTCCAAAGGTAACTTTGCATGTGATGGTTGAGCTTAGCCACGGCCATAAAGACGACTTTATGTTCACAACAAATCGACACTAGACATCTAGAGAGATAAAAAGATTCACGTCCCAAAGATGCAGCATAATGTTTGCATTATCAGGACACACTGAGACGGATGGAGATGAAGCAGGAACACATAAACCAACCACTGTTTGGAAGATTCAGTTACAAGATCAGCTTCTAATTGGATTTAATGAATTTGAACCACTTGTCCAGACGTATACTGTGTGGAAAAGGCCTGTTGACTTACGAACACAAATATAGTCGAGTCGTGTTCGCCAGACCAAAAGAAATAAACAAATATGAAGACAGACACACAGAGACCTTTTTCATGAGATGAACTTGTTATTCTCAACTTAATTTAAACTATTTCATTGAATGCCGAGGATTGAAATCACTTGCAATTGTTTCTTTTGGCATATTTGTCTTGAAACAGTTACCCTCCGTCATGTCCCGTGCATGACTTCCTTTTCCTTCTGTCTGAAAAAAGTAGTTGAATTGATGTGGGATATTTTGACACATAATGAGGAGCACTTGATCTATCGTACCTTACAGTTATGGTGCTATTTATGGAGTTGAAAATAAAAGATCGCTTGGCTTTTTTTTTTTTTAGCTGCAGCAGCTTCCACTGCTTTGAATGTCGACATGTTTTGCATCAGATTTTTAAATCATGCTTCGTCTGTCTATTAAAACCGTAGACTGACCTTCTCCAGACCCATGTTGCCCAGGTGTAGTTTCTCCATGTAGCGCCCAAAGCTCTGGAAGGCGATGTCAGGGATGGTCCTCATGGGGTTCTTCCCCAGCTTGAGCTCCTCCACCACCCGCAGTTTGCTCATGGCCGCAGTGGGGTAGCTGGACATCCTGTTCCTATCCAGGTGAAGTATGGCGAGGTTCTCCACGTCGTCCAGGGAGCCCGGCTGCAGGGTCGTCAGCTCGTTCCCGCTCATGTGCAGCCAGCGCAAGTCCTTGGTGCCCGCGAAAGTCCCCGGTCGCAGCTCCCGGAGCTTGTTGTCGTTGAGCTGCAGGATGAAGAGGTTGATCATGGGGGAGAAGATGCCCCTGGCGAGGTCACCGATCTGGTTCCCGTCCAGGTAGAGGTAGGTGAGCTCGGTTAGGTCCTCGAAGGCGCCGGGCTTGATGCTGCTGATCTCGTTGTTGGACAGGTAGAGGTAGACAAGCTTCTTCAGCCCCTTGAAGGCCTGGGATCCGATCTCTCGGAGCTGACAGTGCTGCATGTGCAGAGAGATGAGCCCCTTGCTTTCGCCGAAGGCCCCCGTGGGGATGCTGCCCAGGTTGTTCCTCTGCAGGTTCAGCAAGCGGGTGACCTCCGACACCCGGGGGATCTTCTTCAGCCCGACGCTGTCGCAGATGACGTGCTGAAGATCGCCGTGGCAGTGGCACAGGCTGGGACACTGGCCCGGGGCGCCCTGCACCGCGGGGCCCAGGACCAGGAGGCAGGTCCCCAGCAGCAACCAACTCACACAACACATACTGACGTTGGAGTCACTTGAAGCGTCTTCCGGTCTTTTTTTAAGCAGAAGAAGTGGAAAAATCCTGTAAAAAAACAACCAAGAGGGAAGTAGAGAAGATCTTTGAGGAAAAAAAGTCAAACTGAAGTGTGTTTGTGTTGAGAGAGAAACAGACGGAGGGAGAAGGAGTGAAAAGGTGAGCGACTGAGAGAAAGGCGGGCGACGCACTTTGAGAGGAGGATGGCCGCTCAACAGAACACACGGCACTATTTATAACGTTCACTTGAGGGGAAAAAAAAGCCGAGGAGGGCTTGTCGGGGTGAGAGGTTTGCAAGAGGAAGTCAAGTGTCTGTGAGAATTTAACCCTGAATGAGCAGGAAGACGACGCGGGACACACTGTCTTTTTGCTGCCTGTATTTGTGCAGAACTTAAACGAAGGGCTGAAGTTTAGCTGGATGCACGTGTTACCAGGTGAATGTTTCAATAAAAAATACGTGGCAGGTCGGGCTCACGCTCCCAGACGTCTCTATTGTTTTTTCAGTCTGCGGTGGAAGGAAAATGAGCTGCTGCTTTATAACCTCTAATAGTCTCCAGATGGCAAAGACGTGAGATGCTGTTTCAGGTCATAACAATTGCTAAAAGATACAAAGGAAAGTTTCAGATGCCGCTTCACATTCCTGCGTGCATTCTTTCCTTTGGAATGGAGTGTGGTATTATGTAATGGTCTTTAGTGGCTCTCGGGTTTCAACTGAGTAATTTTGGTCTCTGTGGAAAGAAAAAATGAACGATGAACTTGAGCCACAACCAGAACAAAGCTTTTGGTGTTCGTTACACCTGCTTTCAATAAGAAAGGAAGGTTGAGGGCTTTGACTGGCTCGGGTCAGTTTGGCTTCAGGTGGCAGCATTGAGAAGATGGATGGACCCACCCAGGGCGAATGGAATCTAGAGTTTACTTAACAAATCTGGCATTTTATCGGGAACATCGTCTCCCTCCCTCACTTCCCAGGTGAAGTTCTCACCTCTAAAATGCCCCGTTTGTCCACCAGTCCCTCTGACTGAATCTGCATCTGTGGGCACGTTAACACTATATTTTATGGGGCCCACCAGTCCCTTATCAGGAAAAGCACTTTATTTCCCCCTGAAATGATGTGGAGGACGATATGTTTTAGAGCCTTTCAGCTCTAAACTGAGTATATTTTCTCAACTGCCATACTTAAATATTTCTGTTGTTTGATCAGTTCAATTGAAATGACAACTTTTTCAAATAATATTGAGTCGTTTAGAATTTGCCAATGTGAAGATTTTGCTGCTTTTTAATGATTTATATCTCTGTAAACTGAATAAATTTGGGTTCTGGACTGTAAGTCAGACAAAACAAGACGTTTTAAGACATCAACTCATTGGGAATTATGGGCAGAGGGACCCCTCATCCACACCCACTCCACCACCTTGATCCCATGTCCGGCTCAACCACAGGCCTTTACAGTCCTCATGCCAGACGTTTTGTTTTGGGGTTTTCTGTCCGTCCGTCCATTCTTATAAACTTGATTTCTCAGGAACACCTGGAATTATGACAATTTCACACAAATGTCTCATAGAATAAATTGATGGTGTTGACATTTTAGACAGACATGGAACTGCAACTTGACATACTTCTAGTTTGACATTTTATAGAGAAAAACTATTAATGGAAAAATAATCGGTCAAAAGATATGTTGGTATTTTTGTGGAGCTCTGAACGAAAAAGCATTTTTAGTGAAAAAGAGCAATTTAATTCTGAATCTATGAGCTCCTTTTAAATTAACTTTAGTCTATATTAGGTTATTAATGATCAGTTAATTAAAGACATCTTTTTTTTTACAGTTTGTTGGTTTGTGGGTATAATTCAAGAATTGCTGCTCATCACTTCCTGTTTGTGTGATTGACAGGTTGTATACGGCACCACGGAGAACAGCCCCGTGACGTTCTGCCCGTCGCCGACAGACAACCTGGAGAGGAAGTCTGAGACCGTCGGCTTCGTCGCGGAACACACAGAGGTACTCCAACCTGCTGATGACACCATTACATCATCACTTTGTGTCAAATGCATACAACCAAAAGAGGAACAAATATTTAACACACGTTTGTCAACAAACTTTATACACTTATTTCCCACCACAGACTAAAAAGACCACTGAGTACATTTATTCAGGTACTGTACTTAAGTACAAATTTGTAGTACTATAACTTGAGTATCTCGATCTCACGTTACTCTATGCTTCTACTCCACTATATCTTAGGGGTGAATATTGTACTTTTTACTGCACTCCATTTGTCTGACAGCTTGCGTTTCTTTACATATTGAGATTTTACAAACAAAACATTATTATCAGTTTATTAAATATGATATAGTGCTGTAGATTAAACTTTCCAACATACAATGTAGTCAACATTTGCTCCACCTCCACCAGCTGTAACATTAAAAGATTAGTTACACATTAAAGCCTCAATAGTGTTCTAATCATGATATTTTTTACAGCACTTTTCATACAAGAAGTGCAGCACAAATAAATGAAGATAGACAGAATGAACATACAAATATACGTTAGCGGAGGTAATGATTATTATTGTGAACGTATACTCTGATATACAGTATAGGATAATAATGATGATAATATTAACAATAACAGCAATAAGAGAAAGAAGAAGAATGATAATAATGAGTAATAATAATATGACTCTCTGAAAGGGACCATTCTGCCCGACGAGTACATTTAGCTATTAATACTTTTGAACTTTTACTAAAGTGAAATCTTGAATGTAACATAAGACTTTAACTTGTGATGTATTTTAGAATGGTGTACCTAATAAACTGGAGTGTCAATCAAAAACAATTACCAGTGTTTAATGCAACAGTTAAATCAGAGAAAAAAACTTGTTTATGTGTAAAAAGAGACATTTATCATCAAGTAATATCGTTGGAATTAAATGATAAAACAATGTTATTCCACTAAAAGTTAATTACATTAAAGTTAATTATTCTTTAAGCCTTTTAAGAGAATCAAGTATTACAACTGATGTGTAATTGTCCGCTCCACAGGCTAAAATCGTGGACCCTAGGACGGGTCAGGTGGTGCCTCTGGGGACGACGGGGGAGCTCATGACGAGAGGCTACTGCGTGATGCTGGGTTACTGGGACGACGAAGCCAAAACACAAGAGTGCATCACCAAAAGCGGATGGTACAAAACCGGGTGAGCGGAAGCGGTCGGTTACTGCAGATCTCGTCACACAAACTTTAGTTTTTACCGGCGCGAGTGAGAAGCATCGAGTGGAATGTGAAAGTATATAAATATGTAATTAGTATTTTAAGTATTTCAGTGTGATGTTTTCCCTGCAGAGACCTTGCCTCGATGGACGTGTTCAGCTACTGCCGAATCGAGGGCAGAATTAAAGACATGATCATCAGAGGAGGAGAGAACGTTTACCCAGCGGAGATCGAACTGTTCCTGCACACGCACCCCAAAGTCAAGGAGGCACAGGTGAGCTCAGCCAGCCAGCACTTCAAAAGAACATTTGAAATAGTTCTGGATGTCCAGAAAGAGATGGATGTTCACACTTTTGTTTAAGTATTACATTTGAAATGCCCCTATTTGCCTAATGAGGTGATGATTTGTTTTTTAGAAGGAAGGAATATTTTCCAAATGTTTCTTTGGAGAGGCATCATTAATTATATTAATTCATCAAACACTGGTGCTGATCTTGATCAATATTACGCCTGCTTTGTTGTTTACTTTTTTATTCTCTTTTTATTGAGATTGACAGCATTTTGTCACATCACAGTGATGTAATAGGCAACTCACATTTTATTTCCTGACTTAGTCGCTCCAGGTCTCATAAACTGAGAATGGACTTCATCAGGAGACATCTTGTGTCCAGCTATATTAGTTCTATATTTAGATTTCTTTTAATGAGAGAGAAGGAGGTGATGTAATTTAAAGTGTATTTTCAAATCTCTTAAAATGTGTCTGTGTGTGATCTTAATGTTTCTGTACACTGAAAGTAAGAAGAGCTACATGTTGTTTACTTGTTGTTTGTCAGGTGGTCGGCGTTGTGGATGCCCGTATGGGTGAAGAGATCTGTGCCTGTATCAAAGTGGTCGACGGAGAGGAATGCACTGCAGAAGAAATCAAAGTTTACTGCAAACAACACGTGAGGCCCAGTTTGCTTTTTACTATTTCATAATGAGCTGGAATTATTTTATACTTTTACTTCCTGACAAACATGTTTGAATGACTCTGCTCCTTTCAGATCGCTCACTTCAAGATCCCTCGCTACGTACTTTTTGTGACCAGTTACCCGCTTACCGTTACTGGAAAGGTAAGAGCTCATATATTCGTATAAATGACAAAACAAACAAGGTTTATTTGACTGCGTTTATTTCGATAGCATGCATCCAGAGAAACGCAGATAATTAGCAGCAGTCTGTGATAAATTAGTCCAAACACCAGAACACCAACTCCCCTCTGGTTCTTGTGTTTCCCTCATGGGATGCTGTTAGAAATAATTTACTGTCGGCACGGCGTGGTGTTTGAACAGGCCCCCAGACGGGAGGGAAAGGGAGCTAATAGCTCGTCTGCAGGCACACCGCGTCCTGTTAGATGAAACCAGAGGGGCGGCGGACCTCGTCCCAAAGCAGCGTATCAGATAAAACCAGCCCTTTAATCAGAGACTCCTTTAGTTCATTTTACTTTCTTTATAATCCACTCAGTATTCACAGTGGGTACAAAACATCACCACGGGGGTCAAGTTTAAGAGCCTGGAGACTATTTCTGTCCCTGGTTGACTGATGCCAGATAGGTGACACAAGAATATGCTATGACTTTTTTCGACATACTATACTGGTTTTTTTTCCGGCATACTGTACTATAACTTTTTTTGTCATACTCTCAACACAATTTTCTGTCTTGTCTTTCAGATCCAGAAATACGAACTACGCGACGAGGCTGAGCAGCAGCTCGGACTCAAGGACAAATGAGATTTTCAGCTGATGAATGAATTTAATTCAAATACTGTTTAACAGGGATTAAAAACCAGCCATCAGAGGTGCTATGGCAGGCTATAAAGCCACATCCTGTAACCCACTGATAACATGGATAACGTGACTATACTTATCACCAGCACACAAAGACCATGAGAGACCATAACCAACAATACATTAATCCTAGTAACAAATAGTGTGTATACAAAAATAACACTGTGGGTGATATGTGCCTTTATTACCATGAACACTTTGTAGTATATTTTGACTCAGTTGCACTATTTACTCCGGTCTTTGTAGCGTTTGTTAAAAATAAACCACAGTGCCCAAATGTTTGAGATGTTTTTAATTAATGTATATATTTGTAACCTGTGTCTAAGATTAATATCTTCTATAGAAACCAACGGGGAAGGACAAACTGGTTGTTGGTTTTGGTCTTCAACAGTTTAATAATATCTGTTGTACAAATGTGAACATTGATTGAACCACTTGTACATATTGAATCACACATTTCACCACAGTTCTTTCTTATCCTGTGTAAAGCTAAAACAATATTTTTTCTACAACTTGAAATAAATCACATTATTAAAATCAAGGCGTTGATTTATCAGGATGAACGAGAGTATTTTAATATTGGTCACGATGGCAGCTGCTCACCTCTTGGATTGCAATGCATACAAAAAGAAACTCACTAAAAATGTTATGATACAGTACGTCATGAAAAGTAGAAAGAAATCATAAAAGAAGTTAAATTGTGTATTATGTCAAGAAAGTCAAAAGTCATGGGTTGACAACAAAAATATAGAATAACACCGAACTTCTGCTTTAACATCCTCATGTTTAATAATATCTGGGTAATATAAATGTGAACATACATACTGAAGATCAGAGCTAGTGGTAGATGTTGAACCTCTCATGTCAAAAAAATTCAAAAATTCAAATATTTTTACTTCAACTCGAAATAAACGTACCACATTATTAGAACCAGACGTGGGTGTTTCTCTTTTTCCGGGAAGAATGAGGGTATTTTTTTAATATTGATCTCGGGGGCAGGTGCTCACCCCCTGGAATGCCATTCAGAAACACACACACACACTTACTGAAAATGAGAACGAGTATCACAGACACACAGGCTCTCAAAGCCGTAAAGAATTTCCTCTGGAGTCTGACGGGCTACACGTGCAGTCCAAACGACGCCGGGCCGCAGGATCGGATGTCGTCGTCTGTCTAGACCTGAAGGACTCGGCCCAGAAATAGCTCTGAAGAAAACAAACGGCGCTCCTGGCTCTTCAGAAGGAACCTCAAGGTTTATTTTGCATTTTACATATTTTTGGGTCTGGATTCATAGTACGCTTGTACAGAGTGCCAAGACTCAACCAGTTGGCTTGAAGGCGCTCCAGCATCCGATTTCCTAAAACCCGGGTCTTAAGAAATCACTTCAATGCCAAAGGAATGCACATTTTTGGGGAATAATAATAAGTACTGATATCAGTCAGTTATCTTTGTACACCTTCTATAAACAGATTGGAATTCAATAAAAATGTAATTTTTTTTGTGCTTTTAGCAATTTATTAATCTCTCACAGAACATCAGAATGGTCCTTCACTTTAAAAAAACAACTATCCAGTCTCCCTCATGTGGTCAGAGAGCGCACAACACTAACATTCTCTAATTGAAACATTAGATTTAAAGCTCTTCAGCTTCAAAAGTACATTCAAATTAAGGAAAGTCTAAATGCAACAGCATGCAATGATATTAAAAAAAAAAATGTCAGTTTGTCTCTTTCCTCGTTCAATGTGACATAATCCACCAGAGGACAAAGCCGACTCCCAAAATAAATGGTTTTCCCAGTTTTGTGTGGAGGAACTTGTCTGTTCTGCTCAGAGTCCTGACCTCAACCATCCAACACCTTTAGGGTGAACTGGACTGTGAGCCAGTTCACCACCAATGTCAGTGTTGGACCTCTTGTGGTTGAATGGGAGCGAATCCCTGCAGCAGGTTCAAACATCTGCAGGACCGACTGAAACCAGCGTGTGATGTTCGGGTGCCTGTATATATTTTTGGCCATATAGAGTAAACACCCCATCTTAGCTCTTGGGCAGCGGGATCCCGACTGCAGTCTGCTGTCCCTGCATCTGCTGCTCCGCTCGGGCCACCTGCTCCTCGGTGCAGCAGTCCTGCAGAAACACAGCGGCCAGGCTGCGCAGGCGGGGGCTCTCTGAGAGGGAGAAGCGCAGCATGCACTGCAGGACGGCCGGATCAGTGATCTCCGAGCGGGACGAGGGCGTCGTCAGGTTCATCAGCGTGGTGATGGCCGACAGGACGGTCTCCTCCCTCCGGCTCGACAGACAGTTTGTGACCAAGCTGATCCCCCTGCTCTCCAGGATGAGGCGTCGACATTCGGGGTCCATACTCAGGTTACACAGCCCCCCTGAAAACATGACACACACAAGAGAAGGAGGACATTTAAAGGTTGGGAGTCAGCATTTGCACAATGTAAAAACAACGGGAGAGAGACAATGACTTATTCACACCCATGCCAAACTCCACAAAGTTGTCGTTCTCCTCAGTGAGCATGTCCAGGAAGAGGTCGGTCACTTGCAGCTCCCTCAGATACTCCATGTTCTTTGGGTCGTACGCAAAGTTGGCCAGGTTAGCCAGCACCTGCTCCTTAGCCTCTGACGATGTGAAATAAGTTATGTTAGAAGGTTAAAGGAAGAACAAAATAATCAAAATCACAGCACTTATCAGCCTATCACAAAACTAACTTCTCATTACATTACAGTTTATTTTTCCTGTCTACCACAAATATGTATCTCTTTTTGCATGTTATATTTTAACTTCTTCATTATTTTATGTCTATTCTCTTTTTATAAGTATTTTAATGAGGATTGTTGGAGGGATCTAAAAAACTCCAAAATCAATCTCTTGAATCTCTTGAAACTTGAACAAAAAACAAATCTAATTATGTCAAACACCCTCTTTACAGTTTTTCAAGGCAAATGTATAGGAAAGAAAATATGTGTATATGTGTGTGTGTGTGTGTGTGAGACCTGTCTTGATGGATAATAGGAAAAATGATCCGACTACTGTGTTTACATACATCACTGATATTGATACTGAAGCTTCAACTTACACAGAAAATAATATCTTCTGTCCAGTGTTAGTATATCAGTGGTGGTGACAGTACCACCACATATATAGCTACATCAGATATTTTACTCAAGTAAAAGTAGTATTACCAAAGTGTAGAATACGCCGTTACAAGTAAAAAAAAGTTATTTATATTTAGTTGGATAGTCATATATCATAACTTATATTTTGTGTAATCTAAATATGCAATGTAGTAGAGTAAAAAGTACAATATTTCCCTCTGACATGTGTCGGAGTATGAAGTAGCAGAAAATGGAAATATTAAAGTAAAGAACTAGTTTCTGATAAACGGTCTGTTGTTTAACGTTACATGACGGATTTAGCCTTAAATATTTGTAATTTTAAGTATTTGTTCCAGAGAAAGCTCAAAGACTCTTTGTGGTTCTCGTGGAACTTACATCATACAATCCATTGAATCACAACATTTAAAACGTAAACAGTGGACCCACCTTCACTGTCTGTGTCCTGAAACTCGGTGACCAGAGTTTGAAGATATTCAAACCGGTCGGAGCCCTCAGACGAGCCTTTCTTCCACATCTTTAGTATAGCTAGCTTAGCATTAGCTCCAGTGTGAAGTTAACATTAGCAGATCAAACAAACTAGAGTAGTAGCTCAACAAACAAATTAACGCCAATCGCAGCTCGGTCAATTTACCGCTATTTCCTGTTTTGGTCCGTCTGTTAAATGTGTCCGTACGACGACGCGTCTCCCCGTTCCTAAGTTCCCAGCCACCGAAACCTTGACCGTTTTAAATAACCTACAATATCGACACTACAAAACACAATACATCATCATACATTTTAGGCATTAGTGGTTGAATGTGTATTATATTTTTTGGGGGGGATAATTTGGGTTTATAAAACGTGGGAAAAGGAAGTGGTGTTACGTGACTAACTGCACTACAAGAAGGAGGCGTGTAACTATAGCAGTTAGCTAATGGTCGCTTCAGAGGTCAGCTAAAAACTGTTTATATTTCGGCCTGTAGCTGTTTCTTTAGTATTTAGCTGTCATGAAGCAACACCAACTGTCAGCTGTGAAGCGTCGAACCAAACCCATTTTATTTGGGACGCTGATCGTGGGACTAGCCACCGCTTTCTTCAACAGGCAAGTTATGATTTAGTGCATGTTGTGCATGTTTTGGTTGCATTAACTGTCACCTGGAAGTGTTAAGTATATAATATTAAAAGGGGCCTTATAGATAATCATGCATCGTAAACCTGCAGTGTTTTCTGATGCGTCTGAAGTGTTTCCCCTCATTCCATTATTCATCTTTATAATTTGAAACTACAGATATCAGTAATCAGCAGCTACAAAGTGCATAAGAACATCACTCTATATTATATAATATATATGCAATATTAGACAGTTAAAAGGATTTTTGTGTATTTAACGATGGTATAATGTTAATGACACCAAATAAACTATATATTAGAAATAAAGAAACAGCAAAACAAACAAAACAGTGTTGCAACTTATTACTATTTTAATTATTGTTAAATCTGCTAATTATTTACTCAATTGATTGATAAATCTTTAAAGAAGTTGTTCCCTCAGGATTTCTTTTTCCCATCTGAAACATAAAACAGTCTAAAACCAAAAGATGACAAAGAGCTACATAGAATGTCCTTTAAGATCTCCTGACTGTTAATCCATGGAAATGCATGGATTAAACTCCAAATACACTGAATCCTACACTTCCCATAATGCAGTGTTTTACCCGCTGTCTGATTAATACCAAAGTAGAGATCGAAACTTGACTCCTTTATTTCTAAAAAGAGTAGTCTCCAAACTGAGATCAAAGTGCAATATTTAAATGTCCTGTTTGTTCTGATCAATAGACCAAAACTAAAATATATTTAGTTAACATATATTATAAGACAAAATCAAACTGCAAATTCTTGCTTTTCAGAAGCTGGAACCAGCAAATATCTGACAAAAATGTCTACAAAGGTTATTCAATTATCGAAATAGTTGATTTACTTTCTGTTGATCTACTAATTTGTTTAAGGGCATATCTGTGTCCATCATTCATCAACATAATGCTTCCTCCTCCTCCATCATGCAGACACAGGTTCTTCCAGGATGTGGAGGAGCTCCGGGCTCAGGAGCGAGAACGCAATGAGGCCAAGAGGCTGGAGGTCTTGGAGAGGAGGATGAGGCAGATCGACGAGGTGGCCAAGAAGAAGAGAGGAGGGAGCAGCGCTGAATAACGTCCCTGCTGTACTACACAACTCTAAAGACTCTACAGATGTGGACACTACGTATAAATAACTTCCTGTACACAGCCTGAAGACATCTGTGTACTGGAGACATCTGTGTACTGAAGACTTCTGTACTGGACACTTCTGTACTGGACACTTCTGTAACACTTTATAATGACTACACACTATGAAGCATTAGTTATGTATGAGTAAACACTTAATTCATCCTTTATAAAGCATTGTTCCTACATTAATAATTCATTAGTATGCAGTTCATAACAACAGTTATAAATGTTTTATTCTTGATTAATAAGCTCGTCTATTATGTGTTTCATTATTGTGTTTTCGTACTTTATAAATGATGGATTCCCCATTTGTAAATGAAGTATTATATATTTTACGAACCAATTATTGAGTTGTAGATGATTAATAAGATAATTTATAAAGTGTTAGTAAATGATTAATAACTTATTTAGATGTACATTATTCATGCATTTATATATATGATTTAGATATGCACTAATGGTTAGGGACTATGTTAATATATGCTTTATAAATGCATATTAATACTGCAATTCATGATTTATTAAGGTAGTTACTACTCCTTACTAAAGTATTTTGTGTGACCTCATCTAAAGTGAGGACTATTTATGCCATACAAAGCATTTATAAATGACATTGAAAGGCCAGCAGTGCCTCAAAACACAAAGAACAGAACAGGCAAATAGACACAACACAAAGTGATCAAGAACATATCAAATACAAACCTCTCAGGCATTCATTCATGTAAGAAACAAACAAAGACATTCTCCTTCAGGAGAACATGGCTAGACTAGACTAAAGCTAACCAGGAGCTTTGCATATTCGTTTACGTTTACTTATTTAGTTATTCATTTCATACCAAGCATATCGACCTCATTCACATCCACTCCACATATAACAGCTAGTTAGCCATCTGTTACCTGGATTGCTCTAATTACAACGGAGGTGACGCGTTAGCGTGCGCCTGTCTCAGGACCTAGAAGGTTAAAATGAAGGCGAAGATGTGTCTGCTCAAGTTGAAAATGTTTTGAGTATAGCATGTACACTTGCACACACAAATACACATCAGTTGACTATTCCAGCATGGAGAGATTGCGGGAGAAACTGTTGATTGCGGCCCGCGAGGGACAGTCTCTCTACCTTTCCTGATCTCAACCTTCCTGTTACTTTTGGGGTCAATTTGACCCCATTCAATGTTCAACGTCTCCAAATAAATGATTTACATCATTTTTTTTGCTTCATATTTAATGACTTTTCCTAATTTAATGGGGACAACTGGGTAAATATAAAATGAACATATGTTTTCAATGTCCTGTACACATGCTGTACGCATCGGTGTTCTTTGGGGTCAATTTGACCGCAGGCTGATTTAGCTGTATAAAACATATAAGAAATATCATGTAAAGGACCTCTGAGAATGTAGGGTATTTAAATAATTGTTCCTTTTTTATGTCTTTTATTTTGGAGGTTGTCACTGCAGTCTGTGCATTTCCTGTTGCGCTTTGATTTTGAAGGTACAAAACCGGAAGTAGGTAGTAAGAAGCGGTACGAAACGAAAAGTCGCTAAAGGGACGGGAAAAAGTGATTAAAACCAAGGAAGAAGGTTACGGTTGTGTTAGTTTAGCACCTGGTCGATATGGGCACAAGGTTAGTACCTATTCAAACTTATTCTTTGGAAAATATTGTTTTAGGTTGCTACGCTTTTTGTTTTGTATCATTGATGAAAGAGCTCAAGCTAACAAACTGCTGTTTCCACTCGAAGGCACCACGTGTGGTTAAATGTAGCATGTTAGAGGGAAGGATAGGGAAGATGCTAAACAGTGTTCAATAACGTTTGTCTTTATTGATTTTCCTCATAGTTCTTACGGTGTGTTCAATAAAGATTTATGGACCATCAGTTAAAGACTCCAGACCATTATTCACTAACAAGGACCAGTTTCGAGAGGTTTATTGCATAGTGGAATGATTGTTAAATTCAAGAAGCGGAAGGGGTCGAGGGATGAAGGAGAGTAGGGTAGAGGGATGATGGGATGTGGGGTAGGGGTAGACGGATGAAGGGATGTAGGGTAGAGGGATGTAGGGCAGGGATGAGGGAACTGTGGATGCTCCGCCTCGTGCCGGAGCATCCACAGCGGGGTCTCTGGAGGCTCCAAAGTGAGGTATTTCCTCTAAGGGGTTGATGACACTGGGACACACGGCATCTGGAAGAGACAGGAATTAACAGGAGTAAAGATTCAGACAAACGATCAGAAGCTGTGTGATGAAAACGTGTGCTTCCTTCACTGCGAGATATTTAGGGTCCCACCATGCCACAGCTCATCCTGCATCTTGGCGTTGCGAGGCAAGGTTTTGGTGGGAGCACTCTCTGCTTGACCGCTCCTTCCACCCACAGTGTCTTTGCTAGGAAGTAAGAAGGGACGTTATGTCTCTGAACGCTTTGACGAGCATGTGACTCTCGGTATGAACATGTCAAGGAGGAAATGCACTGAGGCCAATAAGCATTTGCAATTCCAACTGTTGGTGAGTATATGTGTTAATCACCTACTGTGTACTCCCCAATGCACTGTAGAGTGTATATCAAAATAAATTGAAATAAATCATGGCGAGACACCACTAGCGTAAATGATGAGATACATTGTTTATATTTCTCTGACCCTTCAAGGACTGGCTAATGACAAATCCTTGCTCTTCTGTTTTAAAAGTGGCGGTGAAGGTTAAGAAAGTTGGAAGATGCAAAACAGACAAATTTAGAGGCAGAAGACATCTTCAAAGATGCATTTAAAAACACTTTTAAATGTATATCAAACCATACATTTTGGGCAAATCATGCACTTTTGACGGGGAACTGCTTCACTTTGCTCAGGCAGCTGTTCATATTGTGCACCAGTGCCAGGTACGGGCCATTCTGTCGGGTCCAGACGACCTATAGGCTCCATTCCTTGAACCTGCAAACCAAACGAGAGAGGACCAAAATCAAATTCTGAATATCTAGACTGCCAAAGTCCATGAAATTCTTTAAAATGTATTCTAGTTTCTCACCGGACAGCCAGAGAACACATGGAGGAACCTCTTGAGCCGCACGTCGCGGCTCAGCAAGTCCCTGTCGGTGGTGTGCAAAGTCTCTGTGGAGCGCTACTTCAACTCTGAAAATGTGGATGGCAGCAACCCTGCACTGAATGTACTCCAAACGTACTCGCCTGTTCTTTGATCCAGGCTTTTATTTTGTCTCTACAAACCCAAAAACAATTCACCGATTACATACAGTAAACACATATTACCCTCATAATCACTGGCACTTAACACTGCAAAAAAAGAGCACAATTTGAATAACACTGGAGTGGAAACTGTCATCATCGTACCTGTTATTTGAAATTGAGTCCTTGGGCGAGCTAGTGACTCGAAAGCTCTCAGAATCGGAGAGGTTCTTCACCTGGTGCAGCTCTGTGTCAGCAAAGTAGATGATCCTGAGCATTGCTCTAAGGCAGCGGTTCCCAAACTTTTTAGGCCACGCACCCCCTTCTACATCCCAACCGGGTTCACGCACCCCCAATCCCCCACACCTTAAAAAAAAAAAAAAAAAAAATCAACAGAGCCTATTCATAGCCGCATAACAATCGGACCAATGAGAACAGTTTGCTCGCATGTGGCGTTTGTTTACAAGATTTAGTCCGCTGTTAAATGTTGCAGTGTGAACACAAACCGAAGGGGCAACTGCAACATTGTATCATATTAATCCCTGAATCGGACCAAAGCAAACGAACTACAGCTCTTAAAACGCCCTGAAACACTGCAACAAAGTTTCAATACATTTCAGTTACACAAGGCGACACTTTTAAAGAGCAATAAGGATGGTGAAGACACACGCACAGGCTCAGAGGCAGATTGCATCACATTTAATTTACAATTAACCACACATAGCGGTTACATTAATCTGAATCGAATTACAATAAAGTTACTCTCTCCAATCATACATTCCACCATCTCTTTGGCAGCTGACAAGCACACGTCTCGGCGATTGTGTGAGGTAGCCCCTTTCTTGCTATTCTGTAACTGACCAGATATGAAGCCCGTGGTGTGTTTTTTGTAGACCCAACACATGAATGAGACTGCAGTTGTTTTTGGCTGTTTTGTAACTCCTCCAATTTTGAAATAAAAAATGTAAGGGGCTTTTGACTTGCACTGGCATGCTTGGTGTACAGGTGGCGACGTAAATAAGAGGGCTTCAGACAGCTGTTAGCCAGAACCTCACTGCACACCACACACTGTGGCTTTGGGCAATCTGCATTGCCAATCCAAGTGGCCCAGACCCAGATCATTTTCATCACATTTCCTCTTTTCTCACCTTGACTCCGCGATGGGCCTATGTGCTCCCGATTTGTCTTGAGCTATCCCTTCCTCCTTTTCGGTCTCCTCCGTCTCATCTTTCTCTGACTCCCGTTGAATGAATGAAGTTAGCTGTTAGCTGACGTTAGCTGCACAAGCTAGGCTAGCTAGTGTGTACGTAAAAGACAGTCTGGCGGCAGGAGCTGAAGTGCATTTATTTATTGAATTGTAAGTTTTTTAATTAAAATGTTACAAAGGGAATTTTTATAATTCATGTTTTTGTGAAAAATCCCACTTAAATTTTTTAAAATTATATTTAATATCAATTATTACACCATTAGACCACCATTACATTTTTCTTCTCGCGCACCCCCTGGAGGCAGCTCGCGCGCACCACACTTTGGAAATCCCTGCTCTAAGGCACTTGTGTCTGACAGCAAGGCCGGCCAACGAGCTGTACACCTCATACAAGACCCCGAACAGGGTTTAGATAAAGCGCTTTGCCAGCTCAGGGTCCTCCTCCATCAACTGGGCTCGTGCATCCTCTGGAGAAAGACAGCGAACAGGTCAGGCTCATCTCCTCAACCACACAGAATTTGGTGACACAATTCCACTGACTTGCACGCAGTAAATGTATGGTGATTATAAATCATCATGATCATAAAATCACAACTAATTACTGTAATTAACAATTCATTCTCTTTTCCACTTTTTTTTGCCATAAAACTGGGTCAATTTTGTGACTCCAAGTTGATTACAGTCGCCATCCTACTCAGTAGAGCAGGCTGCAAAACATTCAAGACATCGGGCCCCGACGGTGAGCGTTTCTGGTTCCTCTTATTTTATCACATACTGCTATGCACTGTCATCTTCACACAAATGGTATTTGAAAAGGTCTGTATTACATGTATTGGGGTTGGCAAGAGGATAGGGTTTCATCTGGATACCAAGTGCTTTTCCTGTGTCTATATTAATCTGCTGCATTGAGTTGAAGAAGCACACACAGCCCCGGTTTGACAAGATGAGATCTCATCCTCTCCGTTCTGGTGTGCTGTCTGCAGGGCAAGATAATCACCACCCAACATCAGTCTTCCATACGGGGAAGCCCCAAATATTTGTGTGTGTGTAAATGTATTGAGAGAGGATGACGCACTGAAAATAAGACTGGATGTTGTCAAGTAGTGTGATGCAACGTTTTAATTGATTAAATCCATTATTCATCAGTCAGATAATTACCTTGTAATGTGACGAGGTCCAGAATGACTGACCAAAAATCCTGATGATGATTGAAATATCACTATGTATATCTCCAGCTATTATGATTTCATATTATTAATAAAGAATGTGGGTGATGCAATCATACCTCAATGCTGCGGCTGTTAAAACAGATGTAATCGTGCCACAATCCAAGGTCACCCCTCCACTGCCAGATCGCTCCATCCGTCGTCTTCAGCATCAAATCCACTGCAAAGATGCCCTCTCTGGGCAGGCAGGGCATCAGCTCACTGGAAGAAGAAGAAGAAGAGCGGTTTGAGAAGGCTACGACATTTTATCTAATTCAGTTTAACCATCATGCAAATTGCTATATTTTTGCCGTATTGCCCTGCATGATCTTAACCCATAACATACTGAAAAGAAGTCAGGCTAATAGATGTTATGAGTGAGGTCAGTTCATAGAGCTCCTCGGGGCTCCGGGGTACCAGGTCAATCTGTTCCTAACAGGAGCCGTTTGATGCACCACACAAGAGGAAACGCAGAGTTTCTATGACGTCCGTGAGAAAAAGGAAACACCAAAAATATGTCTGTTGTTAGCTGCCCTGTTACGTGCCACCTTTAACACGTAATGTTCTTTCACTTCTCCAAAAGGCAGGTAAGACTGAATGCTAATGTACAGACTTGGAATGGGCATCGAAGGAGAGGACTCTGACTGCAACAGATCTAAATAAAATTAATTTACTGCTGGATTTAAAAAACAGAACAGAAAATAGAGCTGCTTACCAATCTGAAGTCCATAATGGCTTTGGCCATCAGCATTCCTAAGAAGCGGAACTTCATTCTGATTTTGTATCCTCGTCTGGTTATCCTTCGAAGGGAAGGGTTAGGGTTATATAGGGTTAGGGTTAACCATCCTTTGGAGTTGAACATGTACTTTGTTCCCTCTTGGTTTCCTGTTGGGCAGAGACACAAGTATGGTCAGAATAAAATCACTATATACACACACACATTCACTAAAGGATTTAAATCTACACAAGATCAGTCCGGGACAAAGAGCTCTTAATTTTAAATAAGTACATTTCATTGTGCCTGAAATTGTCAAGACTGATCTTCAACAGTTGTTAACACCGCTTTCTGACCTTAACTTGCAAGCTACAGTTACAAACACACGTTTATTTACTGTCTTACCCCACCAGACAGCTGCTGTCAGTCAAACATGGAGCCCGAAGCAAACATTGCATTGAGTTAACTGCTCATGTAGCAATGGCATCATGTTTTAATTTGTAAAAAAGTTTTAATAAAGAATAGTTGAGAGCTGAAGTAATTCATTTTAATTTTTTTATACTATATTGATCCCGTTAAGGGGGAAATATGTCTCTGCATTTGACCCATCCCTGTGTATAGGGAGCAGTGGGCTGCCAATGACAGGCAATTATATAGTTCACATCTAGACATACAGTAACATAAACCCGTGTTAGTTAATCAGCTATTGACATTTCAAATATATTTCACAGGCAGAAGCATAGCAGCTTAGCTAAGTTAACGTTAAATATATTTTCGCGCGCTATCTAGGCTACAGATTTAACGTTAGCTAGCTAGCTAGCTAACGTTAAACTAGCGTTAGCTTCAGCCAATTAACTAATGGTCAAGTTACCATTAGAAAACAAAATACATGCGAAATTAGCTAACTCATAACGGTTTCAACAACATAAGGATTATTGAAAATACAAGTCTAACATTACCTCAAACTCCACAAATATATATATATATATATATGCGGCATCCACAAAACGAGGGAAATATGGAGCTTCCAGCCAAGCTGCAGGCACCAATATTATATTAGATGTAGACTAGCTTATTCAGACACTCGGATAACAGATGGCTGTGACATGACAAGAGCAATAATTTGCCTGTAATAACCAATAGCTTCCAACACTTACCTTACACCGACCACTGGCAGTTGCTGGCCACTGGTTTGAAAAGACTTTGGTCACTCAGAGAGACAACTGTCACTTGGAAGTAGGCGGGGCGAACAGATATCTCATGATCGTGATTGGTCATTTATGTTGTCATTCATGTCTTTCCCCTTAGAATTTTCTGGAACACAGCTATTAATATGAGAAAAGGCTATTGAGGGCCGATTCACCACTTTAGATGAGGTCACACAAAATACTTTACTAAGGAGTAGTAACTACCTTAATAAATCATGACTTAATCATGAATTGCAGTATTAATACGCATTTATAAAGCATATATTAACATAGTCCCTAACCATTAGTGCATATCTAAATCATTATATTATAAATACATGAATAATGTACATCTAAATAAGTTATTAATCATTTACTAATACTTTATAAATGATCTTACTAATCATCTACAACTCCTTAATAATTGGTTTGTAAAATATATAATACTTAATTTACAAATGGGGACTCCATTATTTATAAAGTATGAAAACACAATAATGAAACACATAATAGACAAGCTTATTAATCAAGAATAAAACATTTATAACTGTTATGAACTGCATACTAATGAATTATTAATGTAGGAACAATGCTTTATAAATGATGAATTAAGTGTTTACTCCTACTTAACTACACACTATGAAGCATTAGTTATTATAAAGTGTTACCGACACTTCTGTTGTGCAAGAAACCAAACTGTTTTTGTTTTGATAAATGACGCATCGGTGGATGAATGTTGGACAACTCACACACATGAATAATAACTGTAATCTACTATTTTGTGTCTGTTTGAGACATGAATAATTATTAAATGACCAAATTGCTAAAAATCAGCTCTCAAATCAGTCTCTCTTGTGCTTATATTTAAGCCCACCAGGGGGCAGTGTTGATCATTTAAAGGGCCATACTGCTGTTTTAGCTCCTTAACTATAAATCAAACATGCTTTTCCTTTCTTTTTCTGACCTTTTCAAGCGCACAACATAGAGTTTGAGATTATCGCACGTTTTTTCCTTCCCGTCTTCCATTCTTTGTCATTGGGTGTACAAATCAGATGGCAGAATCATCAGACTTGTTAGAGGTCTAAACCCTGACAAGAAATGTTGAGTCAGTAGTCACCTTAGTCGGTTACATTATTGATTTAATATGACTTTGAGAATGAAAAACAAAACCAGTTTAAAGAGACGGCTGATTGATTTTCATGTCGAACACAAACAAATTCAAACCGACTGCTGCCAAAGTCTAATTACACATTTTATTAAAACATGCCGTAAAAGAAATCTGAAATAAATTAAATCCACAAAATATAACAAACAAGCAATATTGCACATGGAAATAAAAGTGAGTTCACACGATGTCGGAGTGCTTCACTCGTGTGAAAAGTGTCGAGTAATAAATGAAAAGCTTTTAAAAACAGAACAAAACACTTTTGACTACAGAAGACAAGAACGCTGGTCCGAACACGACGACAGCATCATTTAACTGGCTGTCTATAGAGAACGATCAATATGACCAATACTGTACACATCCTGTCACACAGTCCAGAGGAAAGATGGTGTGTTTGACCCACTACGAAGACTCCCCTTCCCTTCTTCTAAAGACCAAATGCAATCAAATCAGAGCGTCACGATTTAACAGTAAGAAGCCAAAACCACCAGAGATCACGTTTGAAACATTGAACCTCTGAGGACCACATGTTGGACATTTTGAAGACATCAATAATTGATGGTAGCCATGTGGCACACATTTATCCAGCACATCTGCACATGTGCAAACCCATTAAACTGGTTATTTCCAAGTGCACTTAACTGTGGCCATAACTGAAGTTATTGCTATTTAAAGTAGTGGAGAAAAAAAAAAAACACATTTTAATTGCATAATATTTTTCTCTTTTTAGACGATATGGTGCAGACATTTTTACAAATCAGGGTGAGCTCCTGGAGGAATCTTTAAATATGTGAAGAGCAGATCTTTGTAGAAGCCGGTGAGCAAACAGCAGATACAGTAACACATGAAATATACAGACAGGGACCCAGAACAACAGAGAGGGCCCGGAGTAACAGTACATCAATAAAGTTTTACAGTATTTGTGTGGGGCCTCCCTCTTTTTCTTTTCTTAAGAGATGTGTTGGGTTCACCGTCACACAGCGAGCGGCACTAAGCCCGGGGAGGAGGCAGCAGGAGGGGCGGTGATGGCTGTCAGGGCGCTGGCTTTCAGTCCGTTCACGGTCCTGCTGCAAAAACAGAACAGAGTTCCATTTAAACAGAAAGGTCTCAGAAAAACAACCAACCGCTGATGAGTTACAGATCAAAGCCTCCAAAGGAAAGCTGCTTGTTTTTAAGCAGCGATGATGAAACAAGCCGAAAAGTATGGAAGCCCATTTCTGACAGGAACAGTTAGGAGTGACAAAAATGAACAATACTCATCGTAGGTCAGAATTATGAAATATACATTTTTACACAAAACTAAAAAAAGTTGAGGCTGAGGTCAAAAAGTTTCAGTTGATCAAACAATTCAACAAGAAGGGAACATAAACTTAAATTACAAATGATTTTCAGTTGGGTTAACAAGTGCATCTCTTTTATTTAATGAATTGCCCAAATTATTAAGGTTTTTTGTAATTAACTTTTGCTTATAAAGTCAGCCGACCTTCACTCTAAATAAACTAAATTCAATATAATGATTAGTCTATTTATCTTTTCCTGGCAGATTTGGACTCCCATAGTAAGGGATGCCGATTGTAAATAAACTCTTCCTCCTCATTATGAACTCATCATCATCATCATCATCCTTTCACACAAAGAGGACGCTGCAGCTCCTCAACAGCGATGACGTCTTTTAAAGTTATGCGTTTGTTGCTATAAATGGAACTTGAAAGTAGAAAAGGAAGCTGCAGAGTTAGTCTGGCCGACTGGTTGAACTGGTTTCCTCTGTGAGCGATAGTCCCACTATGAGCAGTATCTCTGTGTTTGGTTGAGACCTGAGTCATGACTCAGCACCGTTCAGTATGAATGAAAGATAGATCATTCTAAATCTAGGGCTGGTAAAGTTTGAAAACTTTCCATGGCAGTGTCAACACAACACATGTTCCTCTTTTGAAACTTTATTTCATGGAAGATTAGGCATCAGAATTCATGTTTATGATTCATGGAAATATGTTAAAGTGTTAAATAAAATAAAATATAGTTCCTCGTTTTAGAACAGGGAGTATCTGATGAATGAATGTGTAAACAATTTGGTCAGTACTTAAAAAAGTACGGAGATTCAACACTCGGCTCTATTCTCATCACATCGTCCTCTATTACAGTAAGAACTGCCTGAAGGTGAACATAACAAACGCCCTCCTCCTGACACCAGAAGGACAATGACATCGTTGTCTGTGCGTCTCAATATGCAGAGACACTGAACAGCGTCACACCACCGGCCTCACACAACAACACGAGCAGAGGGAAACAGAGCTGAGCATACAAATAGGATTCACTTTCAAAAGGAGAAGTCTGGTGATTATTCTGTATTTCTCTTCCTCTGAGTCATCAGTGAGCTTCACCGTTGTTCCTTCATCACCGTGAACACACTCACTGTAGTTTATTCTGACTCCATCCCACACGCACTGTCCTACTCCCTGAATGAACAAACATTCCTGGTCCCCAGACGATGTATCATACTGACTTTGGTGCTTCTCTGACTTTTCCTCCATCGCCATCATGATTTGTGGTTTTGAGTGAAAGTGTAAATGTTACAGCCTGACAGAGCTGCCACCATGGCTGTAGACTTAAAATAAACTATATATATATATTTGTATTTAAAAGGTTGATATATTCAGTGGGAACCAATGAGAAAGGGCAGGGAAGTCAGAAAGTATTGAGAGAACACTAACACATGGTTGGTTTTGGTCTTTTTATGGGATTTGTAGACTTATTTTTGTCAGCTTCTGTGAGTAAATGTAGTTTTTGTCATCAAGTTTCTCTTCCTTGAGGCTTCTGACAAACATTGTTTTAAAATGTACCTTGTTAATTAAAATGAATGGTTAGACCTAGGACCAACACAAAGCATAAACAACTCGCACTAGTAGGAAAAGAGATCTATTCGTTCACCTTAGAGTTAAAAAGGACAGCGGTAAAATTCCACCACCATTACAGTTAGTGGACACCATCTATCCCACAGTCATGGTTATTTCTACGAGCTCCAAATGGGAAAAGAGATTTGTTAAAACCACCAGCAGCATGCATGAACGCGCCCCGACACAACGGGAGGAGCTACGATTACCAAGAATCAATGCAGGGAACGTGACCATCTCTGTCCTGCTGGGAAAGAAACGCACACAGGTCTCAGATTCTCCTCCAGTCGTCGGACACATCAGACACATTTGACCTTTAACCATTATAACACAACTAAGGCATCCTGTAAACACATGGGACTCTAATTACAAACTTCTCGTCAAGACTCATCCCTCACTTCTTACTAAGAGATGAAGCACTTGACAAAAGCCAGGTGGGTTTTCTGGTTTCACTCACGCTTTGTCATAATACGACGTGTGGAGCGATTGCGAGTAGTTGGTTGTGTTTGCGTTGAGCGCGTTGCTGTTGTCCAGACCGTACGCCTTCCTGGCTTTCTGGTCCTTGGCAAAGTTCCTGCAAGCGGCGAGCTTGGACTCCAGAGCCTGTGGTGGAGACATGAAGATGAACGTAAAGATGAAGGACAGACGAGGACTTTCCACATCACGTTTGTGATGTAGAGGAGGAGAAAAGGGAAAGAAATCACGTCAATCACTGCAAACAGGAAGTGACTCACCCCGACTTTCCGGAGTAAGTCACTGACGATGTTGAGGGCCGATATTCTGGCAGAAGGAGTCAACGGAGAGTTGCTGCCAAAACCGTTTGACAGAGCTGTACAATAAAAAATGTTTTTTATTTTATTAAATATACATATATTCACTCGTTAACGTCTCCCTACAAATAAACAATCAGTAGTTTACTCTACAGTCAGACGCAAAATGACATTTCAGATGTTACCTCTGACAGGTGTCGTGTCAAATGACCATCTTTCATATCTTTAAAATGTGACACATTCAAATGAAATGGTGGAAAGTAACTGACGTACGACGTGGCATATTCACCTTCCAATCTTACACCCAGCCACGACAAAATGTGTACAAACAAGCATATGAAAATGTAATCCTTTCCCTAAAAGACCATCTAACCAATCCAGCAGAAATGAATTGATACAATAAATCATTTCATGCTCATATACAGAATATCTTGGAGGGTTCTAATATGTCTAAAGATGTCATTGTTATACTGCAGGGCATCTGGGAATTACATGGACGATCTAAAATGTTTAGTTTTTGACAATTTGCACTCACGTGAATAATTAAACCAATAATAACCGATTGTCAAAGCTATCAATGCTTTTTATTGTTAACCATCTTCTTGAGTGGCTGAAAATGTTTGTTCTTTTATGCTACACCCTACAAATAGTCAAATAATTTCATTTTCTCCTCTTTAAGATGGCTTTTTCTCCTCTCAGAGAGCACCAGAAGTGCTCCTTATTTCATCAGTAGACACAATTACATAAAAAATGCTTTAAAATAAAACAACAAAGAACTACTTGCAGAATGAGAGGAGAAAAGAAAGCACTCAAGGGAAGACGGGCTGCAGCTACCTGTCGGGTTGGCAAAGGCGTTGTCCAGACCTTGGCTCAGTGGGGTTGCAGGGAGAGAGAGGGAGGCCTGAACGGCAGTGTCCATCTTCTCGTTCTCCTGTGTGGGCGAACTTGGAGCCGACATCCTGGTCACGTCCGACTGCCTCTCTCGTACAGCCAGCTCCTGCCGCATGTCTACAAATAAATATATAAATGTGTTTTAGCTCCTCCCAGAGAGCAGATTAGTACACAAACCAAAGAAACTCCTGATCTGTGGGAAAGCTGCAGCAGCTGTATGCTAATGAGCAGAAGAGAGCGATTGACAGCGTGGCTCATTAGTAAAAAAATAAAAGGATCAAGTCAATAATCACCTCTGGCTTCGTCCTTTAATCTTTGCACAGACTCCAGAAGCGACTCCTTCTCATCCAGCTCGCTCTCCAGGAAGGCGTTCCTCTCGATGGCCTGGTTCAGACGCTGCTCGAAGGTCTCCAGAGACATGATGGTCGCTCTGAGAGAGAGTCAGAGAGGAAGCAAAATTAATTAAATATCCTCCGATATCCTGCGTGTCCCATCTATTTATTACCGGTTATTCAAGTACGAATAAGGGATCAATATCTGCAGCATTGATTTTAATCCCATTCAGGGGAAGATATTAATTGAATTTGACCCATTTGCTAATTTTAAATTTCCATAAACATTAAACAGGGAAACACAAAGGAGCTGATTTGGTCACAATATTGTCTGTACTGTACTATCCTATTAATAAAAATAAATACATCTTTATTTAGTGAGGCATAAAAATGAGCTTTTATGAGGAAACAACATCTTTCCATCTTTGTTGTTCTTAATTGTTGTTTTCAGTCGCTGTTGTTTCAATTAATGTTTGTAGTAGTTATCGGTCTATGTTTTTAAAAATCTTATATGCATTGGTTGCATTTTATTTAAATGTAACAAAGTCTGTTTGAAATAGTGAATAAAACAAACAAAAATTAATACATATTTTAAATCTTGTATTGTCCTTATAATAAAGAAATAAATCTTTATTTAGCGACACATAAAAATGATCACATGCTACTCAGGAACATCAAACTCTCAAGAATGAAAAGTGATTTTGGCATTTTATTTTGGCGGGCCTGTTCAGACCTCTTGGCTCTCTCCAGGTCGTCGTTGGACTGTTCGAGCTCTCGGACGTATTTGTGGAGCTGCTCCTTGATGCTGCGTGTTTGCCCGAGGTCGTCCTCCAGCATGGAGATCTGCTTGTAGCTCTGAGCGTACTGATGCTCAAACCTCTCCTGAGGAGGAGGAGGAGGAGGAGGAGGAGGAGGAGGAGGACGACGACAGAAGAGAGGCAGCACATTATTGATCACATGTGTTTAATCTAGGACACGGGAGCTTCATGTCAGGACATCATTCAGCAGCTCCCCACGCTCACCATCTACATGTTATCATCTATTTTTCATCGCTCCCCTCGTTTGCCCCTCTGTTGGAAGTGTGACCTAAATATCCACCAGCTCCGAGACAATCAGCTCGATAAGTACCGGCGGGCTCGACTGCATGTCTGACCTACATCTGCTGCTACTGAGGTTTCTGACTCGACTGCAGCCACACAGCCCTCTGTAACTCTGAGCCTCGTCCCTTTAATGTGGCAGTGAAATATTTAAACAGTTTAGACGTATCTTATGCCGTGCTGTGAGGTTGGTACGGTGGCCTTGAGGTGCAAAACACAAACAACATGTCAAAAATGCATTATTTCTACAGTTTGCGTTTCCGGAAATGTTGTGTTTTCTACATTGGTTTAAGATTTTGTTGTTGATGTTTTCTGCAATGTTGCATTTTCTTACTTAATTAATATGAAATATCATCTTTTCAGAAATGTTAGTGCTTATCTGTGATGCATTGTTTTATAAAATGTTGTGTTTTCAGATTTCTTGATTTGTTTGTGAAACGTTGTTTTTCGGTAATGCTGTCGTGTTGTGTGACGTGCTGTTAAGCTTTGCACCTCAAGGCCACCGTAGCTTTGTACTTTAGGCTGTCTCCAATAAAGTGCTGCAGGGATGAGGCATTTCTGCAGCAAACCACGAAGTTAGCGTCTCACTGGATGACTTTTCTAAAACTTTTCCTGAAAATGTGTTGTTTGAACTGACGACTAACATCAGTGGGGAAACCATATAACTGGGCTAACAGTGTTGTATCATGAAAATCAAAAACATATGTCCAAAAAGCAAAAGAAAAGTGCAATATTGCTGCGAAAACTATCACTATTGTGTTTTCTCCCACCTGATGTGTGGAAGCTAAAAGCTGACAGACACTTTGGCACAAACATCTCATCCCTGATGGAAACATGGACGCACAAATGAGCCTCCGCCTTTCTGTAATTATGGAGCGAGAATAAGACCAAGAGACACAACCTGATGCATAATGTATGAGAGTCACACAGATCAGCTGCGTCAGTGTTGGAATTAGAAAAGACAGTCACATCAGCACCTTCCTGAGGTGAGATTTACATTTAGATTGCACATGGAGTCATGGATGACAACTTATCAGCCGTTATTTTGTTGTGCGGCTTTGATCTCAATATTCCTGTGACCTTTGACCTGTAACCCGAGAGGCAAAGCTGCAGGTCCACGTTAAAAACAATAAATAAAAGCACTGCATCCAGGGGAGCGGCAGCTGTTACAGCGAGACTTCACGTCTTCTCCCAAGAGACTGCACTCAAGGACGAGTGGTGATATTAAAAAAAAAAAAAAACAAGCATCAAATATTAATTTCAAGGGTAAATATGGAGACACGCTGTACTGGCTTGGTTCAGAGCTTACAGCACAGTGAGGTTTTTGAGTATTTCTCAATCATCTGATTAAGCCAGGGTGCATTAACTGCACTGTTCATGCTTAGATCAGTGATTTTTAACATGGAGATAAATGTGTGAGGTCACAAGATGACAGGAAAATATTTGCTGTATTGTATCTGCTGTATTCTCATATTTACCGCACGCATATCTCATTAAACTCACGGCAAGCAAGCGAATAAATGTATTTCCCAAACTGTAGGACTATTCCTTTAAGACTAAACGATCTGGAAGCAGGTTGCACCTCTTTGTAAATTCTAAATTATTTTTCTACTTATGAGATTTACTGAATGAAAACGTGTTGCACCACACAAACTACTTCTTACATAGAAATTAATAATTAATTAAATTAAGTCACTTGGTCAGTCACAGTCTCTTTGGAATATATTTTGGACACATTAAACTGATATTTTATCTCATAATATAGATATTTGTACATAAATAATAAACAATGACTAGCTATACTGTCAATCACTTATTACAGCAATGTCTTTATCAGCACATCTTCTTCATCAATAGTCTGTAAGACGTCACCCTGAGATAATGCGACCACGAGTCCACTGTTGCAGAGACACAGATCACTTTGTCGTTACCTTGAGCGAGTCTACCTCGTTCTTGAGTCGTCCGTTCTCAGACTGCAGGTCCTTCATGCGGTGCTCGGCCTGGCCCAGCTGAGCCTCCAGCTCGGCCTCCAGCTCCCTGCTCCCCTCCTGGAACTCCAGCAGCTCCTCCCGGGCCTCCTGGCAGCTGAGGGCCGACACAAGAGGAGGAGGAGGAGGAGTTAGAGAACAGAGTGGAGACAGAAAGAGGTCGCCATGCACTCCACCTCATGTTTATCTTTATTTTATCGCGTGTGGCCACTGGAGCTCTGACCCAGATAATGTTCCACAGACTCAGACCTGATATTCACAATCACCTACAGTACGCTGCTGTTGAGTGAGTTGTAATTGTCATAGCCTTTCAATCTATGTGCATATATATTTATGTTCTTTAAGTAATTTAATTTACGTTCCTTAACAACAAATCTCATCCAACATTTCTGTCCCTCTCTCCAGACGGCAGCAGGGTGAACAGGCTGTCTGGGTGGGTTTCGTCTTAATATCCTTTTTGGCTCTTTGCAGGCACCTCTCGTCACCAATATCACTGATGCTCAGTAGATGGGTTCCAATGATGTTGTGGACGGTTTAAAATCACCCGCGGTAGAGCCGTCCTGTCCTGGGCCGTGCACATCACATGACAGTTTGTAATCTTTCCAGTCAGGATGCTTTTTATTGCTCTGTAAAAGTTAACAAGAACTTGAAACTTGGAATTTTGCCTTATTACATTTCCTTAAGAAATACAGCTGTTTGTGAGGTTCCTTCACCAGGATGGTGATTGTATCTTTGTACCCTTTAAGTATTTTTAAGTTAGGTTTTCCCTTAAGGGTCCAAGGACGTATGTTGTACAGATTGTAAATCCCTCTGAGGCAAATTTGTGATATTACGCTATAAAAAAAAAGAACTGACTCAAACTTACTCTACATCTAACAACGTACAAAAACAGACTGACTGAGCGACATTTGTGTGCGTTCAGGTCGTCTGATCGCTGACGTTTCATTCAACCTCACAGAACATGTGATCGCTGAAGGGCTTTACCACAAAATGCTCGTTACGTAAGCGTCTGTGGATATGACCACGGATGAACACACTTGGATGGACACAGAGCCAGCAGTCTAAAAATGGCAACCATCATACGAGTGAAAGTGCTGGAGGTGGCACAGAGCCAGAAAACCCATAAATGAACGCTTGTGATCGGCCCACTGTGGAAATGCTCGGCTTCGCTTTGAACCGCTTCTACTTGGAAAAGGTTTGGCTGCGACTAATTTGCAGACTGGCGGTTCCTCTTCAATTATCACTCTTTATTCAAGATGTTCCAGTGGATCAGAATAGTTAGTATGAGGGAATCCTCAGCAAGAAGAAGAACATTTCACAAGATGAAAATACTCATTTTAGCTCTCTGAATTTGACTTTTCACAACAATTTTGTGACGAGTAAATGCACAAGTACTTTTCAATCACTTCTAAGCCGTGACTTTGAAGGAATCTCATCGTCTACAGACTCTTACGTAACCGGGTGTCGGCCCGACTTTGTTTCCTTCATCACAGCGAGTTTGATCTCAATCAGGTGACGTGTTGAAAGATAAGATTTCATCTTGGGTACAGCAAATTTGATTTTAGCCGCCTTTACATAATTAAGATGTTTGAGTAACAGCCCGTGTCGTTATATAACCATCGTGAGATGCGAGGACAAAGAGACATGAGAGTCTTTTATGTGAAACATGAGCCGCCGCTTTGGGAAATAAAGGGAGAGGTTCCCACTGGAGCTTTCGCTGCTCAGCACACATATAAAGAAACCTGTAACGGGATATTCCAACGCTGGCTTTTGATTGAAAGAGTAAGAATGGGTGAAACAAAGACAAGATAGCAGATCAAACATTCCTGAGGTGCTTCCCACAGACACAAAGAGACTGCAGGGTTATTATCAGAGCTCGTGATCCGAGAGGAACAATCTGTGGTCCACATGTAGTTCCAGATCATCCCAGAGGTGTTGTATGCTCTGTGCAGACCAGTCAAGTTCACATCAATAAGTAGAAGGTGTATAAATGTAATTTTATGTTATATTTGTCTTTTTAATCACCTCATCACTTTTATTCCTTTGCTGTAACAACTGAATTTCCCCCGATGTGGGATCAATAACTTTCTTATATTGTCAAACCCTTTTCTTTATGGAGCTGGCTTTGTGTACAGCGGGATCGTTGTGCTGAAATGAGAAAAAGACGAACACAAACTGTCGCCACAAAGCTGGAAAACCACCAACTGTTGAACTAAAGGGATTAACAGACCATGAACAGGTGCATCTACGTACTGTTATTGGCGTATTGCGTACGAGGACAAAAGACAATATCTGATATTTTCTGACGCTGTAAAATGTTTGTTTTCCTCAGTAATGTAATCATGCATTGCAGAAGGACACAAACATTTTTAATAATCAGAAAAACATTATGTGATTAAAACTCTTAAAACGCTCCAGATATGAATGTGAACACCTCAAATGGATATGGTCCAAAAACAATGGGCCTTTTATGAACATCATATACTGACGAGTTGGTCTTTCTCTTAATAATAATATAAAAATGACATGCGTCCCTGACTAAGAGTGTACATAATCAAATCTGATTGGTCAAGTCCTGTCTGTAATCCACTGATCGCGAAATCGTGTCTTTTTTGTTGTATAATGTTGTTTCAACAGAAAACATTATTGGCAGAGATTAGCTGTTGTTTCAGAATAATGGACAGTGTGGGTTGTTGTGTGTGTGTGTGTGTGTGTGTGTGTGTGCGTGTGTCTAGGTTTGTTTTTATATTTTGAAATAACCATGTTGTTATTTATGAGTGATTCTTTGTTTCATTACCACATTTTCCCGTCACTGCCAATTATTCTTAAAATATACATCTGGCTCTACTCTTAACATGAAAAAAGACCCGAACCAACAATGTGTTTATTCGTCGATGTTATTATCCTTAAATGGTCATAAATATACAGCATAGTTTGGTCTTTGCTACTCAGGCAATTTGACGTTGATGGTTTAGGTTTAGAGAGTTGTTAACAAACATATACAACAATGAGTTAAGATAACGTCACAACTTAACCGCAGAAGGAAAAGGACCGGCTCGCATACCTTTCCTTGTACTTGAGAGAAAGAGTCTTCCAGAAGTCAATTTCCTCGTCTTTTGAGGAGAATTTTGGTGTCATATCCGTTTCCATGGCAAACAAATCTGTAGAGGAATGAAGAAGAAAACGCGAGTGATTATAAAGAGGTAAAAGTTCTGAAACGAAACAAACTCCCATATACGGTACGTATATATATATATATACATATATATATACACACATATATACATATATACATATATACACACATACAGATTAGTTAAGGCCTGAAATTTTAGTCCATAAAAAAAGTCCCATGTGAGAAACAGAATGTAGAAATCAGAGATTTCAACGAGTCAGACTCCCAGAAACCCGGAGGAGGAACCACAAACTCTTCTTTACAGAGTTTCAACAAAACAGCATTTTGCAATGTATAAAAGTACATCTTATATTGGCATTAAATAAGAGCCATCTGACGTTATACAACACTACAAATCTGTAACTTATTTTGAAAAGCTCTCGATCAACATACTAAAGTGAATCCCAGAGGTGTCTGTATGTGAAGGAGCCTCATTCATCATCACACCGACTCATAACTGGAACAAATGGGAATACGACCAGAATCTGACAGAAGAAAACAGTAATGTTTAGGAAAGTCCTCATTCAGTTAAATGATGATTTCACCTTTAACAAGGCTACAGATACAGAGAAGCTCTTTGAAACTTGTTGGTGTCACCAGTCAGTGGATATTATCTTACAGACAAAACTTAGATATCTAAAATAAGCACCAAGATATGTTGTGAAAAAATATGGAAATGTAAGAGACAAATTTCCATATTTCCAAAAAAAACAATAAAGCCCTTGAAGTGCTGCACAAATCCACTTGAATTCCTGCGTCCAAAAACGTCAATAAGCCTGAATCAGAATTTAAAGGTATGGTTTGAACAAGATAACACAGAGTAAATACCACAGTAAACAACGCTGACCTCCAGCATCACGTTTTAAAGCATGCGAGTCCTCTTGACATTCAATAAAAACACTTTACAACCACAAAGAGGCCGAGGAAATACAAACTGAGTTAAACAGCTAAGTCACACACAATCCCTAACAACCATAAATAGAGCATGGCTGCTTTTACAGTCACTGACTTCTACTGTAAAACAATCTCATTCTGTGCTTCCACTGAATAATTCAGCTTCAGATTAGATTCAAAGAGAAGCCGAGAGGGAAACTCAAATGTTATCACAGCAGAGGAAAATGCAACATAGGCCATTTTATGTGAGCAATTTTAAATTAAAAAACATAATTATATAGTCATAAAGCCATTTAAACTGCACGAGCTTGATGCTGGACTATGACTTTATAAAATAAAATGAATATATTCTATGATTTAATGGGTGGATTAAGTACAGGTGTAAATTAAGGAAGCTTTATAATATAAAATCTGACTATTTTAGACATGCTGATATTAGCCTAATTCCATAGGGAACATGACCCTGTTGAACATTGACCATACTAGTAATCTATGTGATAAATTACATAATTTAAAAATATATATATAAGATATTTATATAAATACCCTGACATCAAGCAAACGAGCAAACGACCTGCAGAAGCCCCGGTGAATGTTGGTTCTAGTGTTTTATATCGTTATTAGTTTCCAAACAAAGATAAAATGCAATAAATTATAATGTATTTAGTACCTGAACATCGCCCCAAACAGTGGTGTTTATCAGTCCATTTTGCCCGCTGATGTGAGCTGTTGAGGCCGCACGTCTCTGATGTCAGACGATCTCTGCTGGTTCCTCTCAGCGGGCATTTAAAGGAGAATACACCCTAAATATGAATACTATCTCTTCTGGTGTGTGCGGCTCAGGTTTTTTGAAAGTGTCAAATATTCAGCTGTGATATTTTAATTTCTAGCTTGGGAAAAATAAATGTGGATAATCACAGTAAAAAGTCGTTAAATACCACGGTCAAAACAAACACATGTTAGGGTGGATTTCCTCTGTATTCACTTGCTCTGCTGTGTTCACGAGCTTCACTGCTGCACATAAACTGCGCATGACGACGCACAACACTGTTGCTGTTAAAATAGCACCACCTGCTGGTCATCGACTACAACAGCGTTTAGTGGTGATAATGATGAGTAAGTCACTGTTATTCGTCATGAAAATAAATTTAAAAAAAAAAAAGAGAAAGACATTTTTAGGGGAAAAAAGTCAAATATATTTTTATCTTTAAATGTCTCATAATTTCTATTTACCACGAGCATTTTGGGGTTTTTTATAGACCTTTATTTTTATATTTCTTTTACTGGCACTGTGCAGTGACGTCACACGTGACAACAACATTAAAGTAGCCATATTGATCTCGTGAAATACTTATTTTATGAAATAATATGTCTCTCAAATACAAAATATTATTTAAATATAGCACGTTACAACTAGCTATATATAAGTAGAAATAAAATAATTTAATAAAATAAAATAAATAAAATACAGCTTTATTAATAGTTAAATAAAGAAATATATGTTCATGATAATTTGAAAATAATAAATATGCAAAGAAATAGAAAACAATAATAAAATGTATATACTTATTTGACAAATTGCATAGGCCTACTTATTATTATTATTATTTTTATTATTTTTTATTCAGACATTTCCCAATTTATTATTTTTAATTTCTTTTATTTACATATATTAGATTGTTTTCCTCCTTATACATATATATATATATATATATATATATATATATATATATATATATATATATATATAT